GAAGAGCAAATAAAAAATCTACTAAAATTGAGCTACTACCACTACTACTATTAAATTCCTCTTATTTACTATTTATCACCAAGAGAGATCCTGTGTGTGTGTGTGTGCGGGAGAGAGAGAGAGAGATAGGCGTCCATAAACATCCATCCACCCATCCATTTCACCAGAATAAAGTAGTTTTTTCTAATATTAAGAAATTATATCCCGTGAGGAAATAATAATAATAATCATAATAATAGGAGTGTGAAATGCAATTAAAATATTTATGACTATAATCATAATTCGATATCTAATGTGTCAACTGGTAAAACTTACTAATGTCATAAATAGAATAATTCATAAAATGCCTGTGTATATAGATGTTGGCAACTGGGTGTATAATTATAGGATTAGTATAGGCGAACAAACAAAGTGGAAACGTTAAATAATAACACGGTGTGAAATGTTGATAAGATAGATAAATAGAACATTGGAACATTACAAAACAAATTTTTGTAATTTACAATGACAAGTAGGACAAATGGAATGTCACTGTGGAAACATTTCAAAGTGAGAATAGTAATAATAATAATAACAATAATAATAATTTTCAATAATTGGTTTATAAGGATTAATTAATCTGATGCTCACTAGTGATTTGCTACAGGACGGAGTTGTCCAGAAGTTGTGACCAGTGAGGTTCATCCAGTCGGGAGTGAGGATGGATTTCCCGCCGATGACATTGGTTGGTGCCGATCGCGCTAAACTCGTCACGAATTGGTAGAAGTTAGAATTCATACGGTGGTCATTGAATCGGGTCCCAGTGGCTTAATGGTCTACGAGATCGCCATCCTTCTAACCGGAAGGTCTTGGCTTCGAACCTTGTCGGTAGTGGGTGCGTACTGCCGATGATTCTCAAACCAGTGGGATGAAACAGCTGTCCAATACTCCAGTACTGGTTTTCAATGGTTCTCTAACAGTGATTAACTAAATAAACAAAAATAGATGAATAAATATCTATCCCTGTACGGCTAAAACAGAAATAGGGATTGTACATACTTCTTTTGTACACAAAGGTCTGGTTGGCTTAAATTCATGAATGGCCAAGGCGTTTTGGCTGCTTTTAGAAGTTTAGAAGAACGAAGAAAATGCGGTCAGCAAGTTAGCATGAATTCGATAAATGATAATCTTAAAATCATGGTCAGGTTTATATTGTAGATTGACAGAAGTCGATTAATTGTGTTCTAGAATAGAGCTTCTCACACTGTACCTTTCTTCCTTCCTTCCTTTCTTTGTGGGTCGTTGGCACGGAGGTAGAATGCTCGCCAACTACGCCCTATATGGTTCGAGGTTCAATCCCCGGTCACTGACGCACTGACGCTAAGCCAGTAATAAGACTGGTAAAGAGGGAAGGTTGGACATGAGGCTAGCTAGCAACCCCATCCCTTAAAAAGAAAATAATCACCACTGCTACAGAACCCTCAAGCCTCCAGCTTGAAGGTGCTCTATGTCTCACTGGGAATGTGAAGGAATAAAAACACTCGCATGCAGGTGGAAAACGTTACTATTGAACAACTGCCCGCTATATTTTATTTAAAAATGTATTAGAACCAATGATAAAAATTGACATGGCAATGTAAATAGTATTATGCATATATATATATATATATATATATATATATATATATATATATATATATAATGCATAATAATAATGTTGACCCATACAACGATTAGTAGTAGTAGGCAAAATAGAATAAAGATGTTACATAACACATGGTATGTGAAATCTCGATTAGATAAATAGAATTTAACATTGAGAAAAAATGTTTTTATTTAGAATGACAAGTGGGAACAGTGCAAAAGTGAGATTAATAAAAATAATAATACTAATGACCGTAGTAATGAGAGAAGGGTGCATAGATGTTATTATTGTGTTATGTGTCGGGTAATTCAGCTGCATTAACAATAACAATAACACGGGATAGATTTTTCATGTGCCTGGCTAACGGTTACACTTATCGTGTGTGTGTGCGCGCTTGTGTGTGTGTGTGTGAAGTTATAATACTACTTATATGTTAAGGCTATTCAGTAGTTGGAGTGAGACATATGCCTGTCTTTTCTATTCCTTGCTTCCAAATGAATAAAATAAATTCATTTTACTGGATCAGTAATAATTACTTTCATGAGAAAAGCTACTTTCTTATAGGAAAAATATGTGACTTATTCAATTACTGATTTATCCTTCCTCCTCCAAAATGAAGAATTATTTATAATTATTACTGATATGACCAGCTTTAACATGGTTTCCTTTGAATGCTGCCATTTCTAAGTTTCCTCATTCTTAAGACAATAAGTCGGTGATTCAATGCTGGAGTGTTCTCTAGCCACTCAGAATGTGTATATCTCCAATTCTTGTATAAGTATGTAGGTATGGTATGTGTCTAAGTGCAAAGTGCTGTTAGAGGATTAGAGAAAGCCTGTAACTGAGGTGAGATGGACGAGATTTCCAGTTGTATCATGAAACCCAAGGGTGACATACGCTAATTTGAGCCACCTCTGGTGCCGTTGCAACGTTAGCCTCGCTGTTAAAGGTCGGGTTTACAATGCTTTGGTACCTGCTCTCTTTCTACACACCTGTGAAACCTGACATCTTCAAGTTGAAGATTCAATCAGCGCTGTCTCCGTAGGATTGCTTACTTTCAATGATATAATCGTGTGAGTAATTCCAAAGTCCGGCAGTATATGTTTGGACATAGTTAAGATCACTATTCATTGAACGTCATCGTCCAGAAACAAACACCAGCTTCAGTAGCTTGGAGGCTTCTGTACTGGACTCAGTTCGCTAGCCAGCTCTGTAACTGGATGGAAAAAGCGGAGAGGTGGTCAGCTAGACTATGACGTGTCTTCGTAGGATGAAGGATATTTGTGTTAGATTAGCATCGGTTGGTGCGTTACTACTCCCCGATTGGAGTCCCAGAGATAGGTTGAATCAGTGACTTGAAATGTGAGTTATCGGATATAGTCAAGAATCTCAATCATAAATGGTTAACGTGCTGCGGTTTTCTCCTTTCTCGCCTTTTTTGAGAATAATTTGACGCATGTTGTTTCGTTTTGTTACATTTAACTGCTTTCTGCCTGGATGAAGTCCTTGCTCATTCTCTACCTATTTCTTCACGTTTTATTATTATTATTGTTGAGTGGCACTTCTTCTTTGTGCCTATACTGTACCAGGTTGTATGGTTTAAATAAAATGAAATGAAATATTGTCCAATTCCTGGCCAACACACACCCTAACTTCTCCTAGTTCACAAGCCGATAGTTGTCTGGAAAGGGTGTGAGTCTAGCCGTCGTAACCTCAAAAAAAAAAAAAAACATTGTCACCGCCTCTGAAACTTTACAAGCTTGAAACTCCATGTTCTAATCGTGGAACTTAAAAGAATGAAGAACATGAAATGATAAAAATTAAAAAAGTATCTTTTTTTGTTTTGTTGTACACTCAATCTGCATAGAAGTTTAAACGAAACGCCTTTCTAGAAACCAAAAATGATATAAGCAGACTAGGAAAGTTCATCAGAAACACACACACACACACACTGCAAGGCATTTTACATTTGATTTACTTTCAACCTTTGTGGCATCTCTATGATAATGAAACCATACGAACTAACCAGTTCTTGTAAGTCTGGTGGCACTTGCGTCTAAAAGTTAAATTAACAACCTAATTTTTGATGGGAGGTTTAAGCTCTTAAGACCACTTGGAAAAGACCATTGGAAACAGTCAGGTCATCAGCATACTTCACAAATTTGGCTTCATCAGATTGATGGGAGGGGGTGCAAAGTCATGTAAGAAGAAAGAAAACAGAAAATAAGAAAAAACAGCACCTTGAAGTACACTAGCTAGAGTAAGTAATAAGTCAATGGAGGATTTCCCACTGTGTACTGCTTCCTATCAGAAAAGTAATAAAGAATATAACCATTTACTAATCCAGCACTCTGCTTGTATATTGCAGAAAGCTTGCTAAACAAAAGAGATCCAGGTACAAAGTTGATGGTGAATATGCAGTCAAAGAAGACACGCTGAACATATTTGACACCTCTGTCTAAACTAGATGCGTCGGTAGCTTAGCGGTAGAATGTTCGCCAACCACGCATGTGGTCCAGGGTTCGACCCATGGCCGATGCACTGCTTTACCTCGCTAAGCCAGTGATAAAACCAGTAAAGAGGGAAGGTTGGACATTAGGCTAGCAATCTCACCCCGTAAAAATAAATACCCCTGCTACTGAAACCTCAAAGCTTTAGCTTTGTAGGAAGTCTAAACTGGAGACAATATTTTCACTATTTTAAAAAATATTTAATAAAATCTAAATGTTTAATTGGTGGATGGTGACTAGCAGTGGAATCCAAGATAACGCGCATTTCGTCCTAGTTGGGACTCGTCCTCCAGCTAGATGTACTGGCATTCCTCAGTCAGTGAATGACGATGTTCCCACCGAGGCTTGGACCCAGTGCCCATAGTTTCCCACTCCAAAGCGTTATCCACTAGACCACTTGTTAAATCATGAGAGCCACCTATTGTGCAACGGGTCACATCAGTTATTTAATTGAATTTTAGATTTTCCCGTCGACTGATTGGATCGAAGCGCTCGGTCTCAGGTTGACATGTCGGCCAATTACGTGCTCAGGCATTGTCGAAGCATCTGCACGAGAAGTCGACATGTCATTCTGAGACCGAGCACTTCAACCCAGTCAATAGACGGGAAAATCCAAAATTCAATTAAATCTGAATGTTTCTTATGGAAAAACTGTGGTTCAAACAGCGAAGCCTTCAAAAAATCATGTTTATGATTTTCTGTTTATACATCAACCTTATTTTAACTAATTTTTTAGTGTTACAGTTAGACTCGGCACTTGGCAGACTGTATTTCAGGAGATTACATAACCTTTGTAGTTTTATAATATTCATATTCTAGTTAATGTATCTTTGTTCTGTGTTTTACGTACATTCCGCGATTTTTAGAGTTGGTGGCCTCATTTGAAAAAATTTTCAAATTTTGGTGATCAAATTAAATTGAATATTTTCACACCGATTGCTGGGAGTGGAACATGTTGGCCAGTTGACAAATCTGGTCGACCACAAACCCTTCTAACACAGATTAATGCACGTATGGCTAAATTGGATATAAATATTGAAGCAGTTTGGCGATTAAATGGCAAGCAATTGAATATGCAAGGGAATTTATCTGGTAAGTTGAAAATATTTTATTTTGTTTTCTTTTTTTATTCCTTTACGTTCCCAGTGGAATATGGGGTGGCTTCAAGCCTCTAGCTTGAGGTTTCTGTAGCTGTAGTGTTTATTTTCTTCTTAAGGGATGGGGTTGCTAACCTTATGTCCAACCTTCCCTCTTTACCAGTCTTATTGCTAGCTTAGTTGGGTGTGGGAGTGCGCTTGTGGTTGAGGATCGAATTCCGGACCACATGAGTGGGCGGTCAGCATTCTATCGCTGTGACACTGACGTCCAAACAAAAACATGGCCTCATCAGTCCATGAAATCCTTGACAGTTAAACTGAGTCAGGTAGGGAGATGCAGACTTCCGGGTTGGGGACCTCGGGACTGACTCTAGGAATCAATGGCTGGAGACAATAGGTGACACACGGCTCAAAATCGTTGTCAATGGCCAGCGCAGATGTATTCAGTCTCTGTAATCTTTCATATTCCTTTCCACCATTACCCATTCTGTTTCGCTCTTATACCTGTCAAACTCCATTGGTTCTCTTCACTCATCTTCTTGTCTACTTTTGTGTGCCATTTGGAACGTGTCAACTCGAACTGGTGCACTACGGTGCCAAGTTCTATGTTGAATCCAGACAGACAGACACTGACGTAATTGGAAAATATCAGTGATTATTGAGAGTGGAGTAAGGACGCTCAGTGACACTTCTTCATTGTACTCAATTCTCTTTCGACACATTCAACTGGCTCCATGACTGTTGTCCACATTCTTTAATTTCATCTCCACATGGATCTTTCCCATATCATTTCGTCGCTTCTCAATCTGAGTTGTACTGATAGTAAGCACAAAAATATTATTTATTTATTTGGATGACATTGGATAGCACGGTAGGAGTATATCGACTAATGATGACAGTAGATGAGCTCGTAGACCAGGAGGTCTTGACAGTGAATGCGCACCCAGTAGGGTGAAACAACTCCGCGGTACTCACAGTGAGTTTTCGATGGTTCTCTAACCGATATCAACTTGCGATCAAACCTGCAGCCAACCAGATCCCTGTGTATCATCACTTAATAAACACTGTAGGTTTAAGTTTTCATATTTACAATTATTGGCTAGTTCTATGGTTCAAGTTTTGAGATATGTGTTACGCGGGCGGAGCTATCATCGTCGACGTTGGGCTACACTAACTGACATTAAATTTTGGTTGGAAGACGCTCAGACGGTGGTCAAACCAAAAGTGACTGTTGGTTTGAGTCGCATAGGGAGGTATAGACCGCCTCGATGGAGTCCTCAAAACTCTAGAAACTATGGTCATATCTCACAGAATAGCTCATCATAGTACGTTATTTTATGTTATTTTTGATTACAGCTTGATTGCACACCGTATTTTTGGTATAAGTATAGAATTTTCAGCGTGGATATCGGTAGCCTAAATTTCGCAGGCCGACCATAGATATCAGGTGTGCGTCGGCGTGGACTCGAACCCCGGACCATGTGCATGGTAGGCGAGAGTCCTAACCACTGTGCCCCACCGACGCACCGACCAAAGGTATTCGAGTATAGTTCCTTTAGTAAATGAATTTTAATTGACACTTGTGGCTTTAAGTGAAAGAGGATGTGTCATAAAATACTTCGGTGTATAAAATCAAACACCCACTTCATTTCTAGAGTTACAAGTTTATCATGTACTGCTATTGATGCGTCGGTGGCACAGTGGTTAGGACTCTCGCCGACCATGCACATGGTCCGGGGTTCGAGCCCACGCCGACGCACACCTGATATCTATGGTCGGCCTGCGAATTTCGGGCTACCGATATCCATGCTGAAAATTCCATACTTGTACCAAAAATACGGTGTGGAATCAAGCTGTAATCAAAAATAAAATAAAATAAATTAAAATAAAAATATTTCTCAGTCATTTCTGTATCCTGAGATCTGAAGGAAGTTGATTCTGTCTACTCGATAATCAGCTCTGTCTCTCTCTCTCTTTTTCATCGGCCACTTGTAATTCTACTCATTTTAGCAATGAGTCGTGACCAGTAGGGTGCAGCAGATCGGGTGTGAGGACAAATACTCGTTGTGAAGACATTGGCTAGCGGTCGCGCTATGTCGTGAATCAGCAGAAGTTAGAATTCATGCACTGGCTGGCCATTGGGTCGGGTCGCAGTGGCTGCTGAATGGTGTACGAGCTCGCTAGCCTTGTAACCAGAAGGTCCTGGGTTCGAACCCTGGCGGTGGGTGGGGGGTGTACTGCTGAAGAGTTCCAAACTAGGTTGACGAAACAGCTGGCCGTGCTTGTACTCCCAGTTGGTTTTCCAATGGTTGTCTAACTAATGTGTCAGCTCATCATGAAATCCTGTAAGTCATACCTAGTATTATTTCACCATCTGAATGCTAACCCTCGGCATTTGTCACGAGGTTCATACCCCGAAAATCACTGGAGTTATGCAGGTGCTTGAGCCAGAATTCTACTCATTTCCATGCCGCCTGTCTGTCTGTCTGTCTGTCTGCTTTCGTCATGGAACTCTGCATATACGTGCGGCAGTTCTAGTCGCCACACTCCATGTAGCACACATAGCAAGAGAAGAAAGTAGAAATGAAATGCATAATAGAGACAGTAAAGAGAGGTGTTAGACTAAAGAATAGTAATAAAGAAGAACAAAACAGTTTCATTGGAAATCATAAGTCACAAGCAGTGGATGCATCTTCGCCATCACTGAGAACGATGACTTTGAGCCATATCACCAATTGTTTCCAAGATTCATTGGTTTTTACCGTCCCTAGGACCCTAACTAGTCGAGAAGTCTACACCTTCCTACGTGGCTTAGACTACTAACTGTTGTAGATTTCATTGACTGGTGCCGCCATGTTTTAGTTTGACCACCATGTGCTATCTCTTTTCCAGCCTGACCCTATGTCAGGTAACATTACCCATCGGTTGAGGAAGGCGATGACTAGGCATACGTAACACATATCCTAACCATCTCAGTTAATGTAATTTCATATCCTCCTCGATTGATTTCCTCTCCTTAACTAGCACTCGACCACTTCACAGGGGAAATAGAACGCAGGCACCTATGATCAAAGACAGCTACCCAGCCTTTTCATGTCTTCCACTCTCAATGACCAGGTCTCACTCACAGCCATAAAAGAGGACGGAGTGGACTGATGAGCAGTACACTCGCCCTTCAGTCGGATATATAGTCGGATATCACGTCTACTCCAGAGACGGTGTAAGCTGGCATATGCGAAACTAGCCCTCTGTATCCGTACTGAGATTTCCTCAGAGGTCAACCCGTTTGCACTGGCTGACGGTATTTCCTAAATAAGTGAAGCGGCCAACGTGCTGTAGCACTTCAGTCCCTATTTCTAACCTAGGAGTCAGTGTAGTCCAGTCCTCGCCGCCTAAAAGCTGCTGTTCTATGAAACATGTGCCTAGTTTACTTTTCTCTCTATTTCCATCCCCCACCTACCCTTCCTCTTCTCCAGGATTCAATCAAGACCGTAGCATTAACAAAAACAACAAATTCAGTCGTGCAGAAACTGGTAAAGATGAATATCCCATAAGGGAATGAATTCTGTAATCACACTTATAAATATCTAAGTTAGGGAGTGGATTGCTTATATATACACACACGCACATTTGAAAATGAAAAAAAATTGGCATGAAATCCAGTGAACTGTTTTGTTTCCCTATGTATGTCAGTGTGATCTATTAATCACACTGTTAGACAAAAAATTCAATCAAACATGCAAAAATGCTTCTTTTTTTCCTGTTGTGCCAAATCACACACTAGTCGTCTACAGTGGTGAATTATTTAAATAAATTTTTTTCTTTTTATTGAAGAATTTTTTTGTTTTGTTTAGTCTAGCGTTTCTTTTTTGTAATCATTTCATGCTATCGTCCATCTTTTAATCTTGTGTAGAGACACATACATCTCTTCATCTGTGTTTGTATTCTCTAATTTATCGATTTTTTTCTTATCGATATGGATTTATCAAGGGTTGGTTTTTCAGGGATTTCATTGGCTACAGGTTTGACCTCGAATTGATATCGATAAGAGAACCGTTGACAACCAGCTAGGAGTACCGGGAAGTTGTTTTGTCAGCCTAGCTTGAGACCCTTCAGGGTTACTCACCCATTGTCAAAGTCCAAACCCCAGGACTTTGCAGTTACGAGGCGAGCTCATATATCACGATTTGGCTGGAGTTGGAGTTCATGGACCATTTGGTTGGGTCCCTGTGGCTTTATAGTGATATACGAGCCTGCTTTGTAATTGGGAGTTCTTGGACTCGGACGAAACAGATGTCCAGTACTTCCAGCTGGTTTTCCAGTGGTTTCCTGATTGATGTCAGTGGGAGAGAGAGTGAATATTTTCGTTAGCCCATACCGTTTTTTCCCCTGTTACAACAGATGGACTATCAGGTGTTAGTATGCAGGGATTGATCGGTTACAGGTTTGATCATGAAAGAAAGACAGACCATTGGAAAAACTAGCTGTTTCATCCTAGATTTTTGTTTTTGAACTCTTTGGAAGTATACACCCACCGTGAGGATTAAGATGTTCCAGGTTAGACAGACGTTTTATGTATGCCTATTATACAAGATGTGGCAATACAAGAGAAAATGAACAATATAAGTGAACATAGACAAGATGGAGGTTATAAAAATAACCAGCCAACAACAGTCAACGAGAGGGATTTGAAAGAGGTTACCTCATTCACTCATTTATCTAGGGAGCATTGTCTCAACTACAGGCAGTCGGAACGGACGAGGATGTCAAATCGAGCGAGAATCGGGAAGGCGAGAAACACATTCACTCACCAACCTGAAACCAATCTGGAAATCTTCGTCAATCAGCCAGCATCAACAACAAAATTTAGTCGGATTTTCAATACAAACAACGTCAAGTCAGTCAGTTCTTCTATACGGATCAGAAACTTGGCGGGGAGGGGGTCACAAAGAATATTTCCAACAGCCTGTTGTAGACCCTTATCAACCAACAACTGTCTTCGCTGGATCTATACTGAAGAGCAGATGGCCTGACGAGAAAGAATCACCAACAAGGAACTATGGGAAGGAACAAACAAAACAAGAACCAATCGCCTAACAACAGCAAATATGCAGGAGAAAGTGGAGATGGATGGATTGGACACTCGCTGAAGAGGCCGGTCGCTGGAGGACATCGCGCTCGTCAGCCCATTGCTCGAGTAGAACCTGAAAAGTAAGGGACGAGTGGGACGTCAAAGGGTGACATGGAGGAGATCGTGTGAAGAGGAGTTGAAACAGTATGGACTAACATGGATGCAGGTGAAAAGTACAGCGGAAGCAAGACAGAAGTAAGTGGAGACGTGCAGTTGAAGGCCTATGTTCCACTAGGAACCCAAGGGAACAATAATAATAATAATAAGTTGAATGTAATCTCAGCTGGATTGGAGAAAGAGAATGCAGGATGGATGGTTAGATGTGTGGATGGGCCGTGAAAACTAGAAAAGAATAAGATCAGTTTAAAAAAAACATCACCTGAGAGGCTCGATAAAAGAAATTATGAGTGCCAATTATATGAACCATAAATGACAAGAATTAATGAATTACATCACGAATATTGGATTATTAATTAATTAGAGAATCCTGTAAAATGAATAGAAGCTGAATGATTGTCTCATCTATATTTCATCCATATCTAACGATATCTAAGCAGTTGCATGCACTTACAATCTTATCATGGCTGGAATCTGAAACTATCAGGCTATACAAAGCAAAAAGAAATGACCACTGAACTAGTTAGTGCTTTTCAATTCACAGTGATGCGTTATTTCACATATTATTTGGCATATTTTATTACCTTTTATTGACTAATCTTGGATTTTTGACAGTTGAAAGGTTTTCTAATGATTCTCGAACTGATGTCAGCTCATGATTAAATCCTCTAATCTCTAATCTGATGCTCACTAGCGACTGACTGCCCCTATTCAAGCAACTAACCTGAGCTGTTTCTAGTGAGAAACCGTGAGCGGTAGACTACATCAGGTTGAAGGTGAGGCAGTAACTTATCGAAGAAGACACTGCGAAATGGTCACGCTATGTCATGAATTGGCTGGTAGAAGTTAAAATTCATGCACTGGCTAGCCATTGGATCGTGTCCCAGTGGCTTAATGGTCTACAGGCTAGGTCTCGTTGTAATCAAAAGGTTACTGGGTTGGAGCCTCAATGGGCTGGGTGCGTGCTGGTGAAGAGTCCCAAACTAGGACGAAACAGCCAGTTTTCCAATGGTTTTCTAACTGATTTTAGCTCATGATGAAATCCTTTAACCAATCAAACAAAGAAACCTTTACAAAAATCGATACTTGAATAATTGATTATGTAATTTCATAAAATAGTTCATGGAATGCCATAAATGCCAGAGTAGAGTATAGAAATGATAAAATGATTAGGCAATTACGCAACATTACGCAACAACGTGTTAATTATGGTAAGATAATATTTCAAAAGGTTATATTGAATTAAATCAATAAGTGAGATAATTCCCGATATTGTTCATAGTGAAATTAATAGTAATAAGGGAAGGATGTACACATTTAATAAATTAAACGAAAAATAAATAGGGCAAAATTAAGAATGTGGATTATACTATATTAACATAGACGGATTAAAACCATGAAAGATAGACAAAAATGACTTCTGGATACAAAGGTCTGACTTCTCTGTTTCAATGACTAAAGCTTCAAGAATACAGATGAGTTGAATATGGAATGATTTGGGGGCCTTCACCTTGTAGATAACTTTAAAGGAAGACGTTGTTGTGGTGTAGTGACCAGTATCGACTAGGCGTTCAGTTGTTATTGTGCTTCCCACAGCCCCACTTCTGCATCTTGGTAACCACACAGGATAATGTTATTGCCACCCTCTTGGATAAACCTCTCACCGAACGACCATAATAGACCTAGCTTCGGACTAGCAGGTGAAGTGATTAACGCATACAGAGTTAGTCAACTGAAGGATCTTGTCCATCAGTCTATTGAATAGTAATTGTCCACTATTTTTATTCCTTTACGTTCCCAGTGAAACGTAGAGCTTCTGGCCTCTAACTTGAAGTTTCGGTAACAGTGATGTTTTATTTTTTACAGGATTAGGTTGCTAGCTAGACTCATCCCTAACCTTCCTTCTTTACCAGACTCATTAGTGGCTATTCAAGGTAAAGGAGGAGTGCGTCGATGGCCAGTGATCGAATTTCGAACCACATAGGGCGTGGTTAGCGAGCATTCTACCGCTGTGCCATCGATTCCCTTAATGGTCCACTAAAAGATGCTATTCTCAACGATGTTGCAGGGAATGTCTCTTATAGGGACTGTGAGATCCTACTTCTAAGGATGTCCACAACCAAGTCAGTCACCTTTGAATTTAAGGTTCATATGTAGCATTTTTTCTTGGTTACTGACTTTAACGGTATGTTCCTGTCTATAAAACGTGGTGGAAATCGATTTTTCCACTAGGATATTTCTCTTTCTCCACAGCATTAGAAGTACATCTGCAAGGATGAGATTCGAAAGAGAACCACTGACAATACTCTCCTTTTGCTAGTAGATTGTTTCATTGAGTATAAATCAATTGCACATTCGTTGACTTCTCATCAGCTCAGCTGCTTACAGTCCAAACAATTTTAACCTACTTGCAGAGAGTCCCTAATATCTATGGTTATCCTGTAGTTATCCTGTTTTATAGTATTATCAACAGTGAAATTACTTATTATTTGTTTGGCTAGCCTTACGTGCAACCTTCCGTCTTTTCCTGGTTCACCACTGGCTTGGTGAGGTTCTTGGGGGCGTTGACTGGGAATCATAGTCCGGACCGTGTGTGTGGGATGGCTGGTGAACACATCAGAAATAATGATAATGATGATGATGACCGTATTCATTGTTCAAAGGATAAAAGCAAACATGTTTCGATTTCTGTCTGCAGGGTGTTTCAACCTGATTATTCTCATCTTTTATACAATTTAATCTTACTTTGGTTAACACTGATCATTGTTGATGAATATATAATGGTTCCGTCTACTCAAGATGGCCATTCAAAGTCCTATCGATTAACGTAGATTCCATAATAATTCAGTTAACAGACTTATTTTTTGTTTGAATGTTTTGCTATGATTAATGTCAATGGGTTTACATTGATCTTCAAGTATTAGTTTGTAGGGATTTGATTTGCTCTTCAGAATTTGATCATGGATTCAGAATCACTAGGAACTAGGAGTGTACTGAACAGCTGTTTTGTCCTAGTCTGGGACTCGTCGGAAGTACGTACTGACCACCCCTGACCTTTTGGGTTACAAGGCAAACACTCGTAGACCATTCAGCCATTGAGACCCGATTCAATTGTCAGCCCGTGAGTTCTAATGTGCGTCGGTGGCACAGCGATTAGGACTCTCGCCGATCATGCACATAGTCCAGAGGTCGATCCTCTGCCGACGCACACCTGATATCTATGATCGGTCTGCAAAATTTGGGCTACCGATATCACATGCTGAAAATTCCATACCTTTAGCAAAAATACGGTGTGGAATCAAGCTGTAATCAAAAATTAAAAAAAATTCTTTCAATTTTTGATTTTAATGCGATCACCAGCTAATGTCTGGACAAAGGACGAAGTTGTCTGGTGGAATCTTGGGTGTGTACTACCTATGAGTCCCAAGCTAGTATGTTGGAAGCTGGCTTGTCCACTATTCCCTGCTGATTTTCCAATGTTTCTCTAACTGATATCGATCCTGACTTTTTTGGGTTACAAGACAAACTCGTAGACCATACAGCCACTGAGACTCGAATCAGTTTTAATGTGATCATCAGCTGATGTGTGGCCAAGGGATAAAGTTGTTTTCCAATGGTTCTCTCTAACTCCTATCTATATATAGTCAGTCAAACGTGCTACAAAGATCTGATCAATTTTAAATCTGATCACGAATTACAATCGGTTCTAGAAGCAGCCAGTGTTTGCCGTACGCCCCCTTCATCTACACGCATTTATGATCTTGAGTTATGTGGCTTGGTTGAATGGTCAACAGACTGTGCTCGTAACGTAACAGGTGGTGGTAGAGTGATGGGTGCATACTGATGAAGATTTCCTAACTAGGGCAAAACAGCTGTCTTGTACTCTTCAGTGATACTCTAAATATGCTGTCGATTCGTTACATAATTTGCAATCATCTTCCTATCGCACAGATTTTAATCGATCGTCTTTCCACATATTGATTTTTCTTTTTTCAAGGTTTTCAAGGATTACGATCATTTGTTGATGATATTATACATCGACATCCAATAAGTAAAATACTCACCGATACGGATATTCCATCAGTTGGTACAGCACTGGATGTTACACGTCCAGTGATCTATGTATTTCCTGGTTATGGTGTCACTTCTCAATCGTCTGCTCTATTCACTATACAAGGATTTACAGCTCTGTTGAACGGAAGTTATACAACACAAACGTTACCAAATTGGTGGCCAATGGTTAAACATTTACCAAAGTAAGTACTTAATTGATGTGGTTAACGTAAACACAATCTCTAACTACTTATATTAATTAGTAGTATTTACACTTTTAACTTGTTTGTCTTCTTCAATATTATTTATGGTTTGAAGCAGATCAAATGTATATTGTGATTTAAATATTTTCAGGTTTCAGTATGGATACTGATATTGGTTACTTGCTATGCACACCGCAAATGTTCTCTGGGGTTCGATCCTCGACTGACGATGACTCTGCTCCTTAACCACGCTTAGCCGATAGAGTAAGCCCCGGTATGTAAAGAGAGAAGGTGGTTAGGCTAGGTGAGGCTAGACTAGCAATGCCACCACCCTCCGGTTATCGAATTATCTCTCGCACTTCCTATCCAGGGAGTTGTAATACACCAAAGGATGTTAGCACAAATATTTTTTCAGAAATTTCATACATTTATTCCATCTTCGAATAATTTGAGCATGACTTCCATTGTTGCAGACTACAAACGTGTCATCAACATATCGACACAGCAATATTTAGTTTACTATGGAACATGAAAGTAACGGAAAGTTCCACTTCCCCAACATTGCCATGCAACGCCTAGAAGACGTTAGTCTTTAGAAGTCAAAGCCAGAATCGGAAAAGCAAGACAAGCTTTTATAACTCTTAAGTCTGTGTGGAGGTCAACAGCCATACTCAGCATCAAAAATAAGATTAGGATTTTCAACTCCAATGTGAAGTCAGTGCTAGTCATCAAACGGATCAGAGACTTGACCAGCGCGTCATAAAGAGTATCTCAAACAAACTTCAGACCTTCATCAACAGCTAGTTGTCTTCGCTCAATACTACTCAAGATCAGATGGCCGGCCAGAAAAGATTAGCAACAGAGATCTCTGGGAGTGAACCAACCCAGCAGGAACCGATTGTGAAACAAATAGCCAGGAAGAAATGGAGGTGGATTGGATGGCCATACTCTGAGAAAACAAGCTGTCAAGTGACATCACTGGACAAGCCATTGCTCGAGTGGAACTCGAAAGGGAAGCGGCGAGTTGGTCGTCAGTGGAAGGGTGACTTGGAGGAGGTTGTCATGTAAAGAGGAGATGAAAGCATGTGGCCAGGCTTGGAGGGAGGTGGAAAAGTTGTCAGAAAACCGAAGGCAATGGAGACGCGCAGCTGAAGCCCGATGTTCCTCTAGGAATTAAAGGATATAATAATACATGGAAAGGACAATACTCACATTTTAATAGTTTTTGTCCAAATAGCTTTAAACGTGGACTAGTCAAGACTTTGTACTATAGAGCGAGGAGAATATACTCTAAAGAGAAATTAGAGGAAGAATTTGAGTTTCTTGAAAAGATTTTGAAGAGCAATGGGTACCCACAAAGGTACATCAACAAGTAAGGAAGATTTGAAGTTATGAATGTAAAACAAATCACAGTGGGTAAAAAGCCAATCTACATTCAGCTTGATTATAAAGGTGAATATATTGCTGCAATGATCAACAGAAGGCTGAGTACGTCACTAGCCAGAGCCTATCCTGCAGTTAAGCTCATCCCCGTCTATCAAACAACTTGCTCTTTTGTGCAATCAAAAATCGATAGATATCCTTCTCATGTTAGCTCCGACTGTATATACAAATTTACATGTATCTGCGGGAGCAGTTACATTGGAAGGATAGAAAGAAGAAGGGCATATCTACGATTTTCTGAACATGTGCCAAAAAGCTTACGTCTTCAGCAAAGAACAAATGCTTTAAACAGTTCCATCCATCGCCAGGTATCTCCTTAACACGGATCATGAGGTGGGCATCGAAAAGTCGTTCAAGATTATCAATAGGCAAAAGAGTTCAATTCTCCTCAAGTTTTCTGAAGCCGTCTCCATAAAGCGCTTGAAACCTGATTTGTACGTTCAGAAAGAAGCGCTTACTAGTCTTTCTTTGCCTTGCCTGGTAACTGGATGTTTTCATCTCTCTTTCATCAAAATGCGTAATGCTGAGAAGTTTCCATTGTGTATGATTAATATTGTTGTTCGGAAAGTGTTTAATATTACATGTAGATATGTATATATTATTATTGTACACATATATTGATCGATTGATTTTTGTCTAAAACTGAATTCTGCGTATGTTAAAAATTGTTTCTGTAGATATATTTAATAACGTCTTTGGCTTGTAGGCAGTTGATGAGAAGGCAACGAGATAAATGATAGTACCACTTTCTTCAAAAAATACTGTAGTTCTTGCTTTGTTCAAATATTTTTCATCTCATAGCTCCACTCCTAGACTGACCACTTCTCTGCTTTTTCCCAGAAAGGTGTGGGACATAATAATATTAATAGTTGATTAATTGAAGACCACAGGGAATTAGTTTTGTTGTCAAGGGATTGGCAGTTTATACTAAAATCTCAGGGATAATTGTAACTTTTCTTTATTTTGATTTGAATCCTGCTATCATTATCCTGCAGGAGGAGAGCTGTCAGTGACATTATGATCACCACTCCCTCAGTGTACTCATGGGTGTCGTTTGGATGACCGGAGTAGATTATTGAATCTCCAGTTCACAATTTGCATACTTCATCTGCTCTTGTAGATTCCTATCACCTCCATTCCATATCTTCTCATTTGTTTGGAAACCTGGTCAGTCTTCCCAGCTTCGTACATGATACGGACATTCCATGTCCCCGCGCTTAGTTTTGCTATCATCGAAAGAAGGTACACTGGCTGATTTACTTCCTGGAGGCTTTCACCAGGCTGCATTATTTCGTCTCTCCAATCCCAGCAAGAAGAATAAGTCTGGTTTTTTTTATATTTTTCTTGTGCGTTGAATTTCCTGTAGCACCTTGGTTGTTTTTCCGGAGTAAGGTCGCTAGAGCCCTACGCCCCAGCCCTCCTTCTTTTCCCGGGATTGGCACCGGCTGGGAAAATAGTGGGCTAGTAAACTAACTATGTGAGGTGTATAATACCGGTCGGTACTCTATTTTTTCTTTTTATGCTTTATAGATTGGACGCTGCTCTAATTCCTGATTGGTCGGCATCAAATATTCTAACGTATCGTTTTATCGAGGAAGCTTTAAAATCTGAACAAAATGGTAGTCAAATATTAGGCGAAATCTTAATGCCGCCTAGTATGAACTCTTCTACGGATGGCCTTTCTGATATATCTTCCGGATTGATTTTATCTCCACCAACCAGTCTTTCTGGCGCACATCATGGAACATGGGCTTCATCAGCTAGTATGTCAGGTGATTCAATCCCCCCTTCTCTGGTGCTCTATTCAAAATTAGGCTGGGGTGAATTAAAACTCCAGCCGTTATCCCTACGATGTGGTCTTTTACTTATGTGGGAGTCAACTGTACACGGTATTCCATCACAACACCCATTGTGTATTGCTATCCCCTCCGTACAGCCGGCTAATTTGAATCCAGTACAATGCCTTACTCGGCTGATGAAAGCATTGTGTCAAGTACCACAACTCTCAGGTCCACCATCAGCTAACCGTACTGTCAGTGGAAAGTCAACTGTCAAATCTACAGTGAAACAGGCGCCGACACGAACGTCACTCATACGATCAACGTAAGTTTTTCTTTATGTAATTAATTACCTTATATCATTTTTGTTTTGATATTATCTGAATTTTTAGAGATTCTTGCCTCGGTGGTACAGAGGTAGAATGCTTGCTAACCACGTCCTATGTGGTTCTAGGTTCGATCCTCGGCCACCGACGCACTCCTCTTTTAACTTAGCTAGACCAGTAATAAGACTGGTAAAGAGGGAAGGTTGATCATGAGGTTAGCAACTCCATCCCGTAAAAAATAAACACCACTCCTACCGAAACTTCAAGCTAGAGGCTTGAAGCCATTCTATGTTCCCCTGGGAACGTAAAGGAATAAAGTAGTAATGAATTTAGGTCTGAATTCTTAAATTCTCCCTGTTTACGAGTGCTGTGATACTGTGTACTGTCGAAGTACTTATCTCCAGTCTTCAGATTAAGTGTAGACTTCTTCGTCTTCTTGAAATACCTCACTGGTCCATGCGAAAACTATTTGAGGCGCCTGACGCCGACTATGGTCGGAGCATACAATTTTCGCGGTCACTCTTCTTTAGTTCCTTCTCCCCAGAGTTGTGTGGCAGAATAGTGCTCGCTTATTAGTTTTCTAAAGGGTACACTCTACTGCTGTTACATTCCATATTTGCCGGCGGTAAGAGTCCACCCTCAGAGACGACGTCACATAGCGTGAATCTGTCTAGACTACAGGACTTGTGAGTACTTCAGATTAACGTCAACTCCTAGATTTTCGTCACAAACCAGGGAGTGCTGGACAGTTGTTTCGTCCTATTTTGGGACTCTTCACTAGCCTACTGAGGGCATTGGTGAAGACAGTACTATATCAAGAGTTTAAAAAGTTAGGACTTCGGGTGGTTACATGGTCAGCGACCTTGGTCGTGTAACCTGAAAGTCTTGTGTTCGTCCCTGCAGTTCGAGTCCTTTCTCATTAACTTCAGCTTTGCCAAATGGATAGCATCAAACATGCACACACATATATGTACAAAATAAGTGTGTCTTATCGTCTGTTTGCTGATTTCCACCTCAGAATAGACAAAATAGTTTTGCTCATTCATATTCACAATTGATTTTTTCATTTTTGACTCCATTTTTTGGCTATTACACTGTGATTACAGTTTTTATTGTTACCCTACCCCCTCCCCTTACATGGATATGTACGCTTGAGTTAACTGTGAAAGCAGCATTTCTATCCTTTCATGTAGTTAATTAATGACTACCTAACTAACAATTCGATGAAGATGTACAACATGAAAAGTAGTCAGCATTTATCATGTTGTTTTTATGTTGCATCTCATTCTTTTTGTCCTCTTCCTTTTTACCCCTCCCCCCTGGTTTGTGTTCGTGTTGATTTGCCCCTCCCCCTCCCTTATGAGATGAAAGGATTTCCGTTCCCATTCTTTTTGCCTTTCTCCCCCCCTCTCTCTCTCTTTCTCCTATAAAATTATGCAATGTGGTGATGAGTACTCACTTCCTTACTTACTGGCGGCTCGGCCAGAAACACTCTTCTCCTCGTCCTACCTTACCCCAACCGAAATCGCCCCCCCCTCCAAAATGTCACTTTCTTTTTTCTGGTGTGTAAATCAGATGATAGATAACCTACCACCTTCTACTCCACCTAGTACAGCGTATCGCTGGCAAAGATTATCGAATCATCCGATGCATAAATCATTTCAGAAATAGAGAGGGAGAGAGAGAGAGAGCGAGAGTTAAGCTTGATAAATTATTTGTCTGTGTGTACTGTATTATATAAGCCATCCTGTTAACAGTAAATGATTATTGTATTCTACGTCTGTGTATAAAGTTGCCGGGGGAAGGGGGGAAAGTTGTCCCCAAATATGATTTACATTCATCTGTGGTTAGTCTTTTAAGATGGAATACTCCTTTATGATTTATTTGTGTTCTCTCTCTCTCTAAGCTGGTTGAACCTTTGAGAGGAGGCTGCATCGATAGAGTATTATGTGTTGTTACCCATGGAAACCCTCGTCTTCCTTATCGATCAATGTTATTAGCTAACACTGGATTGGGTTGGGTAGAGCACGTTGACCGCTTCACTTATTTGGGAAGCACCATTAGCCCCAACGGGTTGATCTCTGACGAAATCTCAGCACGGATACAGAGGGCTAGTTTCACATATGCCAGTTTACGTCGTCTCTAGCTTAGTAGACGTGATATCCGACTATCGACTAAAGGGCGGATGTACTGCTCAGCAGTCCGCTCCGTCCTCCTCTATCGCTGGCTGTGAGACCTGGCCTTTGAGAGTGGAAGACATGAAAAGACTAGCTGGTTGTCTCTGATCATAGGTGCCTGCGTTCTATCCACATCCCGTGTGAAGTGGTATAATAAGGTGAGCAATATTGAGGTTTGGCATCGGTCGAGGTTTAGGTAAGGAGGGGAAATCAATCGACGAGCCTGCGAAGCTACATCGACTGAGATGATTAGGACATGTGTTACGTATGCACACCGAGTCATCGCCTTCCTCAACCATGGGAAATGTTAGCTGACTGTCATAGGGTCAGGGTGGAAAAAAAAACCAAAACATGGTGGGACCAGTCAATGAAATCCACAACAGTTAGTCTAAGCCACGTAGGAAGGTGTAGATTGCAAGTCTGGTTGGGGCCCTCGGGACGGTAAAAACCAATGGTTAGAAACAATCGGTGATATGGCTCAAAGTCGTCGTTGTTAATGGCTGGTGGAGATGCATTCACTCCTTGTGACTTGTGATTTCCAATGAAACTATATTGTTCTTCGTTATTACTATTCCTTTATCTCACACCTCTGTTTACTGTCTCTATTATGCATTTCTTCTACTTTCCTCTTCGCTGGCTTTGTGTGCTACATGGAGGGAGTGTGGCGACTTGAACTGGTGCACATGGGTGCAAAGTTGTTCTTTATCGAAAACAGACAGATAGATTGTCCCTAAATGTGATTTACATTCATCTGTTGTTAGTCTTTTAAGAAGGAACACTCCCTTATGATTTATTTGTGTTCTCTCTCTCTGAGCTGGTTGGACCTTTGAGAGGGGGGCTGCATCGATTGCGTGAGATGGATGTATCATGGGTTGTTACCCATGGAACACCCCCATCTTCCTTATCAAACAGTGTTGTTAGCTAATATTGAATTGGGTCCCTAGTGGACCACACTACTTCAACAGCACATCTCTATATTTCCTTATTCTCTGTGGTTCACGATTGTCCATAGCCTCTGGTCTCCTCCATGTCACAGCCACACCTACATCCACACCCCACTCGTCATTTCCCAATCGGGTTCCACTCGAGCAATGGCCTGTCACGCGCTATGTCATTCGACGGTCTCTTTATTGCCATGTGTCCATTCTTACTTCATTTTCTTATACATATTTGTTGAGCAATTGTTTCTTGTTTGTTGGTTTATTCTCTGAGTTCTCCGCTGCTATTTCTTTCCAGCTAGCCATTTTGTCTTCAATATGTAGTCAGCGAAGGAGGCAACTGTTGATAAAAGAGTGCCTTTATGATGATGAAGAAGTGGGTTACTGACTGACTATGAGTACGTCTGTTCAGTCTCTTCTGTTAGGTGGTCAAAGAGAAGGCTCGTTATAGAAGTAGGGCTTTTGAAGCTTCAATGTTTCAATGATGAGGAAGGGGCCTTCCGGGTGACTACAGACTTCCTTAGAGAGAGTAAATCAAATCGACTTTGGTGAGGATGCATTTTATGAACTCCCTCCTCCTGCTCTCCCTCTCAATGCAGGAATTCAGCCTATTTGGCTTGCCGATCACCGATGAAATTTCAAAATTCGATTGACTGGTTCATCTATTTTATGTCACATCCCCTCATTTTATTTCATATCATTAATTCCACTCACTGCGAATGAATGACAGTGTTATCAAAACATATGTGATCGAATACTTTTACTCATCGAAAATAATCATCTTCATTTGTGTCCTGTCTCCACCACCAGCAGGCTAGAGATTCGATATACTTAGATTTTTATTACTACTCATTTTAACGAACGAAGATTCTTTCACTAATCAATAGCAGCTAGAGATCATTGAGAAGTAGTAATAAGCACTGAACAGTTGTTTCGTCCTAGTTTGCTACTCTTCAGTAGTCGAGAAGAGGTTATCCTTAATCCTACCGGGAATCGAACAGAAGAACTTCAGCTGGTAAAACCAATCCATTAACGATTGAAATAAAGCGAAATCCCCACAAAACTTTACCAGTATAAAGATGGACAAGCGCACATCTTTGAATTTTATGGAATTGTGCTCTAATTTGCTAGAACAATTAAACATGTTTCACCTGACGCTGTCATAACGCGTACAATCTGTTTTGCATCCAATATGTCGTTATTGATTGATTGATTGATTGATTAGTTTAACGGGTTGATTTATTACTCCACACCCACACACTAACGCACATTCCGTTTTGTTTTGCTTGAGATTTGTTCATATTCATTCATGTTATAATTATGCATTGTATTACATTATCTGTATAGAACCATTTCTGCTTTGCTTTCCTATCGATTAGTTTACATGACACCATTATAAATAATAATAATAAGACTAATTATAATTTCTCTCTCTCCCTCTCGCACGCGCGCTCTTATTATTATTATTATTATTATTTAAATGACTCATCATGTCAATTTCTTTCTATTATAACTTTCATTATTATATGTACACATTTGTGTGTGTATTTGTGTATATGCGTTTGTATATGTAGGTGAGTGGACACGTAGATGTATATGTGTGCACGTGGGCGTACACGTGCTTGCGAATGTTCATTTATTTGTTTGTTTGTCTATTGGCGTGTGTGTGTGTGTGTGCGTGTTAGCGTGCGTCTATTTTTCTATCTACTCTAGTCATCTATCTCTTCACATTTTGAATTAATTGGTCAATTGATTTTTTTCTTCTTCATTTATTTCAAAATTTAAATATTTCGTTAGTCATTCAGTCATTCATTTATCTAGTTCGTATTATTATTATTATTATTATTATTATTATTATTATTATTATCTGTAAAATAAAAACAG